AAGAATACTGTTTACCTGCGAATTAAACCACTCAGTTTTGCTCAAGAATCTAAGCATGCTTTGCATGCATCTACCTATATGCACGATAGCTAGCATATCATAAAAGGCCTAAGAGTTCATTCTTGCAACTCTAACCACAAGCTACTCTCACTAGGCTACGTGGTGTCTCAGTTTTGTTCTGGAGCAGAATCCTGTAACTGTCTGACCTCGTGTGTGTGTGGCCGTGCCTGGCTGTAAGGTAACGGGAGCTGCAACAGACCTAACCCCGTCATACTGCCCTTCCTCCCAGACGGTGTCGGCTAAGAGTTGTGGCAAGAGAAGGCAAATTCCTTCCTGATGCTATGGGCGACTGCACAGGTCTGGCAAATCTGTGAGAAACTGATGAAGTTTTGTTTTTCCACACCCAACATGACTTTTCTTGAGTATTAATAGTACTTTATCATGGATCAAATTTGTAATTTCTGTCAAGGAACACTTTTTCATGCACAGTCAGCATGATAAAATTTCAGTCCCTGAAAAAAAAAATTTGCCTCCAAGAGCGGTAAAAGGTTCACTCTTTTCAAGGGGAGAATGACAATTATCAGCCTTGAAAAAAAATCTGTAATTTCCACTACACCATGCAAAGAGAACACAAAATACTCCAAGCAAGTGGGATCACGCAGGGTCACGCCTCCTCTCTGCCACAAATAAAGGCCTTTGAGTATCCCACTGACAAACGCACCAAGTTCATAGATGACGTACTCTTTTCCATATTTAGCTGAAAATCCTGTTTCTTTAGCTTTGTTAGTAGAAAGTTGTGGGTTTAGATCTGCAGTGGGCCAGTTCACATGCTGTGAAAGCAGTTAAGAGTAGCAGTTATAAAACTTATAGCACTCTTCCTAAAGATGTCGTGAGGAGTGGGCTTAGTTTTAATATATAAGTTTCTCTGGAAAATATTACTTTGTGAACCAAAAAGAGACTAATTCTGTAGGGATACGAACCTCAGCAAGATTTAGAAATCTTCTGCTGTACGCTGCAAACAGTTGGCACCTGCTTCAGCCAGTGTTTTCTAACTATGCTTTTTGGATGAAAGCATTACGGTCGTACACAGAGTAATCATGTACTCCCAATGCCACCCTATGCCCAGCAGCTAACCTGTATGTAAGAGCTAAAACGTCAAGTAAATGTTTTTCTGATGTTAATTTTCTCCACAAACAGTTCTGACTTCCACGTCTGGCATCAAGCCAAAAATAGTCCTCATCTACAGAACCGGGAATAGGAAATGGAAAGGGATCTCATCTGAGCAGTGATCTGCGGAACTGTGAAAACTTCTAGCTTGTACAGTCCAAAATCAATCCTCCAGGACTGGTTCCCTCTAAACAGCCCTGGCAACAGAAGTGAGAGGGGAGCACTCACAGGTATAGGAAGCAAGTATCCGAAGCCCTCTAAAGAGGCATTACGACAGCATCCACCCCACTGTGCAACCGCAGCCGCAGGCTTTTGTATAAAACGTCAAAGCCATGCAAGTAATTCAAAAAGAATTTGTGTTTACTTCACAACATTTCTTCTAACAGATGATACTTTTCTTTAAGAGAACTGTTATTCAAAGTGGTTCAATAAGCTGATCAACAAATGCGTCAATTCTACCTTGAACTGTTAAAAATGGCAGTTTAGATGGGGATCGGTCTGTTCTTTCTTAGATGAGTAACTTTTACAATGACATTTTGTGTGGGTGTTCACGTAAAATAAATTTGAGATCTGCCCTCCACGGGTGGAGAAATTTAAAAATATTTCTGTATACGTACTTGCAAAATGCAAATACAAAAATAATAACAGAAAAGTAAACAGAAAAGTTTATGAACAAGGGCAGAATTAATTAATTCTGAGTAGATATTCATGAATTCCTTCTATCATGAATTTTCTCAATTCTATTTAGTTCTGGGGAGTGATGGAGAAAGACAGCCTCTTTTAAAAAAGAAACGCCCATGTTGTTTAGTCTTCAGTTAAAACTTAATTATTCTAATGCTTTAAGGAATATGCCTGTGGAATATATATAACACTGCTGCAGTCCTCTTAAGAAGCCTTTTTTTTTTGTATTATTAAAAGAAAGAAAAGTCCCAGACTAGGTATTCTTTAATATGGGCAGTGCTCTACTACTGTTACGTTTGCTGTCTAGGTGTGAGAAAGAGGTAATGTGGATAAGTCTCAGTAACGGAAGCAGGAGAGCTGCATTCTGTTGCTCTCTTTGCCAAGGATGAACCATGAGCTTGGACAATTTACATCCCAAAATACAATATCAAGTACTGGAGCACTTGGTTTTAGATAAACTGCCACATCCCTAATACAGATGTCTAAGCTTCCTGTACAAGGAAGCGTCTCACCCTCTGATTTCACTTGCACTTGCTTGGCTGCAATACTGTCCAAAATGAACCTCTGAGTCTTTCCTCACTTTTGGGGAGATCTCTAATGTAGCTAAATTACAGAATTTGGAGGAGAGAGGGTGGCTTTTCCCCCCCCCCCCCGGGATCAGTTCCCTCATCAGATTCACAACACAACTGCACCAAGAGCTGTGCTGGCCCACCATACCACAGGGGTGGGAATGAGCAAAAGGACTATCATAAAGCCAATATTGCAACACATGAGGAAGGAGTAACCAAAACCAAGGTGGGGAAAAACACCAACCAGAAGAATGCATCTTGACCCTCTCCTTTTTACGACTTAAGCTTCTGCGTTATGGACCATTTATGGGGGATTAAAACTGCCTCAGTCAGCCTTTTTGAAGCACATTGATAATAATCTGCACATACTTCACTAGAAGCTATATTCCCAAGCTGTGAGAAAGCCAGGTTCAAACCCTATCACTGCTTAAAAAGAAAATCACGCCCATTTATTTAAGTTACCTGGGAGAGTAGCAACCTTGATAACGGGTACACATGGATAAGCAGTCCTAGTCTTTCCTGTTGCAGTAGTTTTAATCTTTACGAAATAGTAAGGTATTAAGTTGTCTCAGTTACACTGCTATTGACCCTAATCTAGTGTTGGGAGCTTCCATTTATTTCAAAACCTAATGCCAGAATAACCATAGCGGGCCAGACTAGAGGTCTTTTTAACCAGTATCTTGTTTCGTGTCAGTGAGCAACAGCCAAAAACTACAAAAGAACATAGAGCAAGGTAGAGGCATTCTCAGAATACACTTCCAGCCATTAACAGCTTGTGAGTTAGGGACCCTGGAGCCAAGCTGCATCTCTATGTTTATACTTAAGCATAGTTTCCTCCAAGCAGCTGCAGGAAACTACATTCATATTCCTTCTCTGCCTTATTTTTTGAACTCATGTAAATCTGCTGCTTCCGTAATATTCACCAGCAAGTACTTCCACATATTCAAGCAATTTATGTTATACAATGCATAAGAGCTTCAAGAGAAGAGAACAAGAATAAAAAGATCAGAATAGATAAACATATTCAATGTATATTAACAGGCTTAAAAAAAAAAACAGCAATAAAATAAACAGGAACAGAATAAGTATATAAGTGTAACCTGGGTGTTAGAGCAGTCTCCTGTTCACCACTGAAGTGACTAAGCCTATACACCCCAGTATTTTATGCACTTCCAGGGCCAAACCGCCATTAGAGAGCATTTGAGGAGTCTTGCAATGAATTCAGACGTATAGCACAAGTGAGGTGTATTTTTCTGTGGATTTAGCTCTTTGTGCCTCAGTTTCCACATGTCATATTTTCCTGCTTCAGGGGAGCACTGTAAGCCTTAGCTAAGTTACTATCAAGCACTTAATAACTGAAAGCATTTCAGCAACCTTATTTAAATCAATTAAAATATTCACCCTCACAAAAAGCATGCCCATCCTCGAACTTGCAGGATGAGAGGTTTTGTCAGTGAAAAGAGCTTTGAAACCTCTGGATGGAGAACGCTAGAGACACGCAAAGCGTATTTTTCAGCACGTTACCTCAGAACCACTCAAAACAGGGAAAAAGAATCGTTTTACCTTCCCAACAAACACTTCAAATTCCCAGGACACAGGATGACGACCTACAACCGAATACAAAGCAAAAACAAAACAAAACAAACCCTAACTTACTTGGAGCTGGAGAATGTCGGGGGCGGGGGG